TGTTTCCTGGGCGCTTCCTTAGGGAGGTGCTTCAAGCATGCCTGACTGGGAGGAGACCCCAGGGAAGACCCAGGACACGCTGGAGAGACTACATCTCTCGGTTGGCCTGGAAACGCCTTGGGGTCCTTCCAGAAGAGCTGGAAGAGGTGGCTGTGGAAAGAGATGTCTGGACCTCCCTGCTCAAGCTGCTGCACCCACGGCCTGACTTCAGAATAAGCGGAATATAATGCATGGATGGATGTTTGTTTTACTGGTGTATTGGTCCCAGATGTATTTATGTACCTTATTTAACGATATGACATAAATAATTTTGCTGACCCCCAGACTACGACTCACAGACCCCTGGCGGTCCTGCGACCCCAGTTTGAGAACCTCAGTGATACAGTAGATTTACTGTCAACACAAAAGGTTAAATCGTGTCATCTGGACCGGTTTCTTTAAGTGAGAAATGTTTTGTCCCCCATCCAGAGGACTTCTTCAGTCTGCAGCCTGCCAACCTGATCTGTCCCATAAGTAGCCTTCGCTGCTGTGTTCAAAGCCGACCTCCTGTTGGAATCTCAAAAGTAGACGTTTAACACATGCAAATAGAGCACACCCGTCCAAAACAATCATCATGTACATTAGGACATCCGTCCTCTGGATGGAGGACGAAACGTTTCTCCCTTAAAGAAACTGGTCCAGATGACAAGATTTAACCTTTTGTGTTATTATCTACCTGGATGATTGAGCCTACAACACTTGATATTTCCTGTCATCTCTGAATGTGACTCTGCCCCTCCCAATTTAATTTTATAAACCTGTAAAATGATCTAAAAGCGGGTCCTCGTTGGCTGACTGATAGCCTAACCTGGACAAAGACGTTCTCCGCACTCTCTGCACCGACACCTCAAGTTTTAACGAAGGAAAAACAACTAAAAGTGAATTTGGTTCTAACAGTGTGGCTGCTCTGGCCTGTGCTGCCCTTGAGCTTTCTGGATGAAACAAAAAGTGATATAAAAAGTTGAGAAGTGACGTAAAGATCACACCAGGTGTTTGATTGGTCTGAAAGATGCAGCGAGCTTCAGAGGATCCCCAAACAGATACGTGGTTGTAAAGTCGGCTGCGCTTGTAAACCGCTCCAAGGTTTTATCACGTTTTGAATTTATCTTTGATTTGATTCACCGTGGAAACAAAGACTCCCTGATGATGTTAGTCGGGGGTTCTGAGGAGCTTGTTGTTGTTTAATCCCGTCTCCCCAGACAGATTAGCTTTGTCACGACGACTGGGAATTGAACCACGACTGGTGCCCAGTTTGTTCGCAGAAGCAGGAGGGATGTTCACTTGATGCGACTGAATAATCAGGGGGAAAACACTCATTTAGTGTTTTTAGAGGAGTTTTGTGAACTTGTTAGAACCAGATAAGAAACAAAACGAGGTGCAGCTTTACCGGGGTTGGCGCACCGGATTGTTAGGCTCACTGTCGATTTTTGAGAAAATTAAGGACCCGCCCTTTTGAAATTGAGAAAAGTTTCTTATTAAGGTTTAACATTGACTTTTATTTCATGAAGTCCCTAAGTGACATCTACTGAACATCCTGATTCAGTCATGTGACTAGTGAGGGACTCTGGGTACTGACGACATCATTTCCAAAGTCTTGGTGCACCTGAGCAGCTAATGTGACCACTAAGCTAATTTTAAAAACTTTATTTTCTTTTATCAAAGAGGAGTTTCCACTGTTTCAGTGATGCTAATCCTTAGATAACATGTCATAGCTTGCATTTAACCTGCTATGATAGCGTTTATAAACAATTTGATAAAGAATAGCTTTGTCAAATATCGTTGTGACATATATGTGATATCGGGCAATAAACTCTAAATTGTACAATAAAAATCCATGTGACATATTTGACACAATAAGACAAATACTAATCATCTGCTTAGTCAATTTAGCTCATTCTGTTATTTTAGATAAATATATTTTTTGTTGTTCATTGTAAACCATATTTAAATAAAAATAAGCATGAACATTTATGAAATTACTATTTCCAAACGGGGAATACATTTACTAAATACGCCCATTGTGATCTATATGTCACATTTCAGATCTGTGCCAGTAGGTGGAGGTATTAAAAACAAAACATCAGAAATGTGTTACATATAATCCATTTGTTATAATTTAGAACCTCCATAATTTTCATGAAAGTGGAAATGGGTCTGGATTCAGGATTTTAAGTGTGCCTTATAGTCTGAAAAATACGGTAATCTAACTAAATAAAATGCGTTTTTCTTTGGAGGGAAATCAAAAAAGTATAAAGATGCCACGGCTAATCGACCTGACAAAACACAAAAGCAGCTACGTTTGTATACGTTAGCAGCAGAGAGTCATCTTCATCACGAACTTCTAACAGATTCACATACTATGGGTAACCCTCCTGCTGCCCTTGGGTCAAAACGGCCCACAAAGCTTCAGTTCCTTCACACCGGCATGTCGTTTCTTGAGAACATATTTTTTTTGTAATCCATCAAAGTGATGTAAAACCAAAGCCTCACTTTTAAAACTTTCGCCTTTCTGGGTAATTTTGACCCAAGGGCAGCAGGAGGGTTAAAACTTTGATGTGCAAGGCAGTGGGTGATGTGCATTCTTTCAAGGAATTATCCATTTATCTCCAAACAGGTCTATGTTTTGAATAAACTGAAATAACTTTTAGGCTTCCAATGAAGATAAAACCAACTTTATTTTACCAACTGAAGTAAAACTTGTTGGTGTTTCAGTTTGATTGTTGAAAAAGAAACAGAAAACTGAGTCAAAAGCTGGTTCTGGTCTGGAAACGCCCAGTTCCTCCTCATATTTTCCATCCGTCTGGCCATGAATGAGTCACACCGTCCTACTGGGCTGTTCAGGGTGGCAGCGAAGAGTTTTCTAAATAAATATTAGATGCAGAATGTAGAAAATGTTTCAGTTAAATAAGTAATTATTCAAGTTATTTACGTGGCAAATTAAAAATCAAAAGTTTTCTTCAGGCATTTGTATAATGAGCTTTGTTTTCACCCTTCAATTGGCTGTTTGAGATTAATAAACTGCTCATTTATCCATTTTTAATCTATCTAAAGCCTTAAATTAAACACTAAATCTAATTATTGACTGCAAAACGCAAACTTTTAATTTGAAATGCAAGCCTACATGATGGAGACAACTTGACGTTTTACTATTTTATTGACTTACAATTAGCAGAAATGCAAAATCGTTAGTCTTGTTAGTGTTTATTTGTGAAATACGTTAATTTATTTCAAGGTAAATGATTGGAAAATTGAGTAAGAAGCCTTTTTGGTGCAGTTGACTTTAAGAGTTTAAACAAGCCATCAAATATAATCAGTTAAGGAAAAACTTGTTCATTTATTCTCAAATATATTTGTTAATTTAAATACAAACATTTGCTGATTTTAGCCGCTCACATTTTGAGAAGCTTCTCTGTGCAGAGGTTACATCTGCAGATGTTTTTATTTAATTCATTGTTAGAATAAGAAGGGTTTTGGAAAATATTGAAGGAATTTTCCAGGATTTTTTTATGAATTTGGCTGCTCTTATAAAATGTTTTCTTCTTGCATGTAATTTGAGGATCCTGGAGAACAAGAGAACATTCCTAGAAAGAAGATCTGCTGATCATCAAGACCTTTAAATAGGTCTGTCAGGTCTGGGATCAGATCTGCTTCCTCCTCTCTCTCTGGGTTTTTCTCCTGCCTGTCACTTCATGACGTAAAACAGAGCTGAGTGGAAAAATAGAAATCATTTCATTAGCTGCAGGGGCTAAGCTGGCGTGCAGAAGTCCCGGTTTATCAGTGGGATTTCTGCAGCAGCATTAGCTGCAAGGCAGGTTTTCATGCCGGGCAGGCGGATGCTTTCCCCCTCGGAGCGTTTTCCAAGTGTCATGTGTCTCCAAACCTGAGCCAAGATAAGACGGGATCTAAAGTCGCCCAACGTGTTGCAGAGCGACGGATACGGCAGAACATACAAATTTCTTTTATCCTGATATGTTTCAGTTGAGCTGTTTCTGCAGGTGATTCACGTGACAAACTGCAGGAAATCACAAGCAGCGTCCATAAATCTGTAATGATGTGGTATCATTTGCAGTCAGATCGAATCTCATCTCTGTCAGACTGAGCCTTGACATATTATATAATACATCCAAACAAAATAATGCTTCTCTCATTTTGTCTGAGTGTCCTTTGCTTTAGTTTGTTAGTAACACACAACGTTTGTGACCTGAGCTGGCAAAATGAAACACGAGGAATTCTTTCAGTATTGAGTTATTATTGTTTTCAAATTCTCCATCTCAGAAAATTCATAATGATACGTAGTTTGTTGAAATTTTGTAATTGATCACCTGGACAAGTCGAAAAATAAGCAACGGACAAATTCTATTTTAGTGCGTAATTGCATCTAAGCTTAAGAAAGAAATTGCCTTGTCAAAATCCAAGATGACCACGCCACATATATATACATATATATATATAAAAAAATATATATTCTCCCCTAT